AAGGAAAATCGTGACCCTTTTTTCAAATTGCTACCATTGACGCAATTTTTCTTCTTTTAAAAACTGCCCTCGTGAACCGGTCTCAAACAGTGTTAAAAAATCAAACACTTTTGTTCCTGATCATTCGTACAGGCTGAATCGTGCCGTTTGGGGTAGCGCCAAAAAAAAAAAAATTGTTTTACCCCATTGCACGTAGACGATATTTCTAATAATTTTCAATTTTTCATTCCTGTTTTCTACTCTATAAACGTGTACTTTTATAATACAAAAAGAATTAATTGTTTTTTCTCCAATCCTGCTTTCTTATAAACACTGACTACTCCTTAGTGCCGAGAAACGTATACGGCCCCTTAATGTACCTACATTTTCGATTTATATATGAACATCGTCGGTTTCTAATCATTTCTAACACTGCACGGATTTTAATTAAATAGAGAGATAATTTCTTTCTGTATTTAACGTGCTATAAAATTGTATATTGAAGGCTGCCAACGGTTTTAATATTGTTAAAAAACAGATTAGCCAGTTCTTGATCCAGTCCGAAGACAATGATCTTAATTGCCTGTAATTTTGTTATTAAGCACTTTTTCTGCTGAACAGTAATTGTTACCTGCGATAAATTCGACAGATTTCGAAAATACTTCGTCGTTTACACCGCGAAATAATGGCATTCAGTTGAATAATTGTTCAAAATAATCAAGGGATCACGATTTTCCGTTTAATTAGGACAATTGAGCCGAATAAAAGGAAATATTAAATATTTCAACTGTCCAATTTCGGTCAAATCCGCTTGAGATTGATTTTTCTTCACTTACGAATATTAAAAATAGGGAATATCAAAGGAACAGTTTTTACAGATAAAATTCAACGACAGACTATCAGAAAATAGGTTTCTGTACAAACTTCGTACGAGCAAGAAAGGAACGAAATTAGTTTTGGATAAACGGAGTTGAAGGGAAAAGCAAAGTAAATATATAAGGTGTTCTTAAAGATATCCACTTTAGATATGTTGTACAAACGTTGCACATCAAATAAACTGTTTCAAATGATTTCGTCCAGCGAAGAAGACAATTTATTATTCTTTTTTTCTAAAAACATTTTTTTTTCATTACTACAAAATGTTAGACCCAACATTTTACGAACATCTTGTACACACACATTTTGTTTAATGTTACGTAATTTATTCAAACAAGCAATAATAACTAAATTATTAAACCATTACTTAGTTAATTAAAAATAAAGAGAACGTTCACATGTAATTCAAATCATCGCCGTAATATTTACTTACTGTTCATTCATTCTGAACAGATTGTAAATACTTTACTCGATTAAAAAGGTAAAATGTAATTTTTAAACGTTTCTGTAGAACATTAAAAAAACACACAAACGCACTTTTTGTGGGTCGAATTGATCCCGTATGCGTAAAAATTTGACCGACAAAAAAGGAGATACAACTGTTACCTGAGTTTCCGAAAAAAATACCAATCTTCTTCAAAAACTGTAAATACCGTTACTATAACCCGAATCTAAAATGAATAAATAAAAAAAAAAAAGAGAAGGAAAATGTGATCTCATGATTATTTTGAGTAATACACAAAGAGCGTATCTATCGTTTAGCATAACACAGGTACATATACATCGTGATGGAGCTCTGCCACGGCGGTGATTTGTCGAGTTTTATAAAGAAGAGGCACAAGCTACCTGAACATATTTGCCGTAGATTTTTGCAACAGCTAGCGCTCGCTTTGGAGTATCTGCGAAATAATAATGTCTCGCACATGGACTTGAAACCGCAGAACTTGCTGCTAACGAAAAAGTCTCAATTAACATTGAAAGTCGGAGGTTCGTCTTTGCGTATCAAACTTTACTCGATTTAATTCTACTCTTTTTCTTTTTTTGTTGTCTGCAATTTTTTCGAGTTTCACTGTTCGATTTTTTTTTTTCGTTTCCTCAAAGCTGGGAAATTCGACGATTTTGTTCTTATTCCATTTCAGATTTCGGTTTCGCTCAGTACCTCTCGAATTCCGAGCAGAAATTTGCGATTCGCGGTTCTCCGCTTTACATGGCGCCAGAAATTTTAATGAAACGCAAATACGACGCCCGCGTCGATTTGTGGAGCATCGGTGTCATCATGTACGAATGCCTCTTCGGCAAAGCTCCGTACTCTAGCAGTAGCTTTCAGGAACTAGCTGAAAAGATCAAGGACACCCGACCTATAGAGGTGATTACGTTGCTGATCTGTTTTACACAATTACAATGTATTGCTTCTCTTCTCGATTTTGCATCATTTCACTCTTACCGTAAATTTTTCACCATTTTTCCTCTACCACTTGTTCTTCTTATTTTTTTTTTTTTTTTTTTAAATACGAGTGTTTCGTTGAAATTTACCCCTTTGCATGCATAAGTTGTGCCGTATATGCTACATGGCGAAAGGGTTCCAAGATTGGTCAGATTTTACGAACGGTGCAGCTGTTGCAGGTGTATTAAAAAATTTTGAAAAATTTTGAAAATTTAATCTATTCAAATGACACCGAGTAAATATTAACTCTACAGTGTATGTATTGCGAAACGAACGTGGACAATTATACCATCAGAGATGTTTGGCAACCTGAAAATTCAAAATAATTTGAAATTTCTCAGAAATGTCAATCATTTGACGCTAACACCGTAACCATTTTTTGTTTTGGCAATAAAACGGTTTCGGGGGTGAAAATTACAAGGTACTTTTAAAAAGAGATTGCAAATTTTCGTATTATCCTGAGTATTTACGAAATCGTGCCTCTTTTGAAAAAACAATTAAATTCAAAGATGTGTGGTTTCTGATGTTCTACATTGCGGTGGTAAACAATTTTCGAAAACATTTACTTTCTTCAAGATTCACCCCCACCATTCTTAATCTTTTTGAAAAAGAAAAATGTTTTTCGAAAATTCTTTACCATCACAATATAGTACATCGAAGACTGCACGTATGTATTTCAATGTAACTTTTTTTCCTCGCCATCGTGTAAATATTCACGATAATACGAATACTGATCATTTTTTTGGAAGGGTTGTTTGTTACTCCTAAAACTGTTTTATTGCCGAAAAATAGTTTTGTTATTGGCGGCAATTGAACTACACTTTTGCAAAATTTCAAATTATTTTCGAATTTTTGGGTTATCGAACGCCCCTTCTCGGTAGTAAATAAATTGCACAGCAATAAAAATTTATTTCCCCGTAATAAATGTCACTTCGGCAGTTGTTCTGGATCAATAAAAGATAAAGCATAGGAAATTCCAGGTAAACGATCGATTTTGAAAGAACAATGTAGGTCGCTCTAACGGTATCTTACTAATAGGAGGTGAAGTGTTGTTACAATAAAGGGACAAGGTACAATGTTATTGTTTTATAGGAAGTATTCAAAATTG